TGACACTTAGAATCAAACATATGAATCGGTTCATGCATATTTCAAAATAAATACGTGAAAAAAAAAGAATATATCTAGTCAATAAAATCCCGTTATACCACGCCTTGAAAACAACACAACCACCTCAGTCTGAGATATCTCGTAAATTACTTTAAATTATCACTATTTCCGAGCTAGTGTACGTCAAAGTGTCTAAGGTATAATGTTGTCTTAAACATACTTTTTGTAAACTCTGGATTGAATTTCAAAAACCAAGAGTGCTAAACTATGTAGATTTTATTAAAGTTTTCAAAGAAGGAATTGATGTATATTTGTTTGATCTGTATCAGTTTCGTAGTTTCTCATTAACAAATTTAACATTGAAATTGATTGTTTCATCATAAAACAGTATATTTGTAATCTAAACAGCAATCCAAAATACGTTTTAAGTAGATGTTTAGTCTTGAATGCAACTAACATTTTAATAGAAATTAAAAAAAATCATTTTAAAGAAGTGATGTGCATAATTTATTGTTCTTACGTTTTGTATTTATGATTCATAATATTAATAACTTATAGTAGAACACTCAAAATTGATACATAAATTTTCTTAATAGCTTTCTCTCGTACATAGTATGAAAACATTTATACCATTGCTCATCAGCATATCACTAGATTTTTAGTATTTTTAGACTGATGATACAATGCACACATATTAAGTTAATTAAACTTGCAGTTTTCAAATATACAAAAAATGTCAAATTATGAAGAAATCTTTGGTCAAGTTTAATCGTTTAATATAATTAGTAAATTCTGTCATTATATTCATTGTTCAATCATTTGAAAGGTGAATAGATCACATTTTCGTAAACTGCAAATTCATATTTCCTAACGATAGAAATATGGAGGCATTCCACAAGAAGCTACACCAACTTATAGTCAGTTGTAACTTTATTATTCATTTAAAAAATCTTTATTTCAGTTTTCTTTGTTAATATGTATTCTTCATCAATATGTATTCTTCAAATTTGACATTATGATAACGCTTATATAATTCACATTTACGGTGACACAGAAGTGACATGTGTGTATTTTTTTATCTCGTGAACACGAGATACTATGTCGTGCGCACGAGTTACTTAGTCGTGCATATTAGCTATGTTGTCGTGCGCACGAAATAATAAATTGGTGCTCACGTGATACTATGTCGTGCGTACAAGTTACTTTGTAGTGCGTATGAGATAATTAAGTGAATGGCAGGAGATACTATGTCGTGCGCACGAGTTACTTAGTGGTGCGCACGAGATACTAAGTCAATGGCACGATATAATTAAGTCGTTGGCACGAGTTACTTTGTCGTGCGAACGAGTTAATTTAGTGGAGCGCACGAGATAATTAACCAATCAGATAACACCAGATATATGTATTTTTTATTCATCTCGTACACACGAGAAACTATGTCCTGCGAACGAGTTACTAAGTCGCACACACGAGATAATTATTTGGTGCGCACGAGTTACTTATTCGTGCGCACGAGATATATAAATGTTCATGTTTCTATGTCACTATCCGAGGCCCATAAATCAGATATTTATTTTGACTAGGTTATGGCCCTTTGTGTGGATCCTGTGGTAGGGTTGATCAGGACGTGCTTACTATCGGTCTGTTAACCTTGTCCATACCATAACTTGAGAAGGCCTGGTTTATTTTATTTGGTAGGGACATTTCCCTTGATGTTCGAAGTCATCAGGTCAAAGGTCAAGGTTTACATGGCACTTCATGTAAAATCCTTGTCTGATGAATGACTTGAGCAGGAATAAGCCATGGTTCTTATCACAATGTATGGACATTTCACCTGATCAGTAGATGACGCCTAATAATTGAGATGTAATTGGGTTAAAAATCAGAGTCACAATAACACTTAATGTCATCATTAATAGTACTTCATTTTTACATTGAACATCTTGTTACTTGATAGGGACATTTTCCTAAGACAGTACATTGAAAGTATAAAACCATAATTATTGATTTCGATGTCACTAGGTCAAAGGTAAACATCACAGAGGCACATAATGTAAAGTGCTTGTCGAATCAATAACTTGAGAATAAACAAGCCATTGTTACTTTGTAAGAATATTGGTCAAGGCAAGTAGATGACTTCTACTGATTTTAAAGTAATAAGATCAAAGGTCAATGTCAAAATGAACCTTATTAAGCAGAAGTGTGTATATATGCCACTGTGACAGGCAAGTGAAGTAGGAGCATCATTGTCCTGGTTAACTCAGACATAATTCAAATAGTGTAATCTGATTGATGAATTAATTCGTGCGTACGACTAATTATCTCGTGCGCCGACATGATTATCTCGTGCACACGACTTAGTAACTCGTGCGTACGACATAGTATCTCCTGCGCGACACTTAATTATCTCGTGCACAAGACTTAGCTACTCGATAGTACGACATAGTATGTCGTCCGCATCACTTAATTATCTCGTGCACAAGACTTATCTATCTCGCAGACACGACTAAGTTGTTCGTGCGCACGACTTAGTTACTCGTGCTTACGACATAATATCTCGTGCGCACGAAATAAAAACGCACACATATCACCACTTTGTTGACATAATTTACATTTTATTAATTAGCTAAAACGTTACAAGTAACCTGTACATTTATTTAACTTATTCATCGCGTATATGCAGTACGCAGGAATATGCAAATGACGCAGAATTGTGCAAAAGTCATGCAGAGCCGTGTAATTATGTTGATTAAACGAGCACCAGGAAAAGTAAATGAACCAATATCTTTATTGTACATCAAAGAAAGAAATGAATTAGCATATACGGTTGCTGAGTTAAGATATTTCAAACCTCATCAAATGAAATATAGAGAAATATTGATGAAAAAAGTGTATTTTCATTTGCCATATTTTCACTGTAAATTTTTTTTTTCACTGCATTGAAACATATTTTACTGGTGTCTTGAGGGACTACTTTCTTCTTAATGCAGCCAATAAACAAAATAAAAATAGAAGTATTAAGAATTGTAAGGTAAAAAAAAAGGAAAATGTATATAATAAACAGAAAAATCAAGTTTTTTTCTCAATAATTTTCAATTTCAACTCTCAAGTTATTTTCAACCTGTTAAATGAAGATTATCATATTTTACTTGTGGCTCATGCCACTCGTGAAATGTTTATTTCCATGCCACTTGATGAAAATGAATCCTGTATTTAATACTATTTATAAAAAAAAAACTAAAGCCGCCGGCAATACTCTAGTAAAGTCGTCAGTTTGACGAATGATCATGAAAAATAAACATTGACGAAACATAAAATTCGCTTTTAAATCAGAAGTCATCTTTAAATTATATTTAGGATAGATATTTTGGTCCATTTACTCTTACGATATTACTCGTCTTGCCTATAAGTTGCACGGATTTTTTTTGCACTATTTTTGCGTTATTTTGTACATTTCTGCGTTATTGGTTATACACGGTTGTATTTTTTCAATCCATGACTTAAATTAAAATACACCTTTTCTAAATTATTTTTCAACTTTGTATTTCTTTTTCGGCGTATTTTAATCCCTGTTGTTATAAAACGCATTTATAGCAGTTAATGAGGCAGTTCAACTTACTTGATTAATTAACTGCATTAATATAGTGTAACAAACAGACAACAGATAATGTTATGTCTTTGACACTATAATCCAATATAGCCGCCGCGAATGAGCAGTTTGTGACCCTTAATTGTCCCATATGCAGATATTTTGAATGACGACCTCAACTTGATCTGAACAATCTAAAATGCTTCACGTCGTGTTATAATAGGGTATGTAAGTCTCGTCATGTGACTTGCGAGATTTCACGATATTTTGCACTTCCGGGTACAAACAAATATCAACAACATTGCTTATCTATATTGGGTAATACTTGTATGCCGGTGGGAAAGTAAAACTTACATGGAAAAGCAAATGATATGTGGAAATTGGCAGAGTTTTTTGTTTTGTAACGAAATGCAAATGGTTTCATCTTGTGAACAAGTATCAATGGAAGACAACTTCGTAATCTTCAGGTGGGTGTGTCATTTCAAATTCAGTTTATCCCGATAAATGTTGTAATATTTTTATTTCCATGTAAATCTAATAAATTTGTTTTTTGATTTAACATCATTCGCATCTGACACCAGACTGGTGAATTTGATTTTATCAATTTTCTATAGCGCTACCTGATTATCTCTCAGAAGTATATAATGTTAAGAAATTTCGGACAGCGCATATTTCGGATAAACTATTCAATATGATTATCAGTGAGTTTGAGTTGAATATATTTTCTTCCAACTGAAAATATTATTTATTTATAATTATTATCTTTATAAAGCACAAACAGTCAAGCTGTATATAACCAATTTGAATTGTCATAAAATTCAATGAAATATTTTGCTCCTGTAGATATTTTGACTGAGGACAGTGGTGAGATGAAAGACGTCAGTATCCGATGTAAATACACATGCATGCTCTGCTGTAAAATCGTTTTGGTAAGAAATATATACTTAAAGCTACTTAAACTACATTAAAGAAAAATAAATATTATTGTATAACATATAATGTTCTTGTTTTTGTAAATAATTACAGTGTAGCTAAGTAAACAAACAAACAGTATGACATATGTAGTTAATTCATGTTAAATACTGTTTAAAGTAGTTTTCTCAAGTAAGTGGGTCATATTTTTTTGTTAAATCATGTTCAGTAAATGGTTAAAAGAACTTAGTCACTATCACATTTTTTAAAGATCAGTTGTCAAAGCAAATCTACAAAAACTAGGACACCAAGAAGTGTTTCTTCCTTTTCAACATTATTTTCTATTCATGACAATATGAAAATGATTGAAATTTATAGCTGACCAATTGTTATTGCTTTCAACTCATGATAAATTTTCTTTATATACAGGTATGTGATTTCATGGTTGGATCTTGAGTACTTGTCATGGCTCTTGATTTATTTTTGAGTGTTCACCATCAGATTAGAAATCAAATAGTGATACCACCAGGCATACATGTAGTTGAAAGGAAATGTCCATACACAGTCTTGGAGTACATAGTGGTAGAGACATGGCAGTCCATTACAGATTTTGACTGAATTAAAGCTTCTTAAAGCTCCATGTCTTGTGTAAACTGTTTGACTGAATGTTTGTATTCTAATAAAAACTAAGGTTGAAGACACTTCAAAGATATATGTCAGTGTAAAAATGTTAAACAAAATATCTGTCTTTGTTAGAAATAAATAACCTGTCTTTATTAGAAATAAATAACCTGTCATTTGTAACTTTGTATTAACTTAATTATTCAAAGATAATTTATCTTCTGCAAATGGCTGCCCAAAACAGTTTCAACCAGGCATCATGTAGTTTCAAAACAGTTAAGATAAATTTGTTATAAATAGACTTGTAAAGTAACAGGAATGGTAACAAGAGCACCGCTAGGCGGAGCATTATATGCCCGAAAGTGTTTTTTTTAGTAAGGATGAAGCATTTGTAAGACATGGGAATTAGCTGTTCATCCTATAAAATTTTACAGATGTACAGTAGGTTGATTAATACTTAAGTTATTATTAATGACCTTAACCTTTGACCTTGTGACCCTTAAATCAATAGGGGTCTTCTACCTTATATGGACAATCATCCTAAGGAGTTTGAATATTGTGGGCCAAATGGAACTTCTGTTATGCTCCAGAAACTGTTTTCAATTTTAAGGTGACCTTTGACCTTTTGACCCCAAAATCAATAGGGGTCTTCCACCCAATATGGACAATCATCCAATGAAGTTTGAACATTGTTGGTCAAATGGAACTTAAGTTATGCTTCCGAAACTGTTTTCAGTATCATGGTAAAAGTGACCTTGACCTTTGCCCTTTTGACCCCAAAATCAATAGGGGTCTTCTACCCAATATGGACAATCATCCTATGAAGTTTGAACATTGTGGGCCAAATGGAACTTAAGTTATGCTCCGGAAACCAAATTGCTAACGGACAAATTGCTAACGGACAGAAACTGTTTTCAGTATCAAGGTAATAGTGACCTTGACCTTTGACCTTTTGACCCCAAAATCAATAGGGGTCTTGTACCCAATATGGACAATCATCCTATGAAGTTTGAACATTGTGGGTCAAATGGAACTTAAGTTATGCTCCGGAAACTGTTTTTAGTTTTAAGGTAATAGTGACCTTGACCTTTGACCTTTTGACCCCAAAATCAATAGGGGTCTTCTACCCAATATGGACAATCCTCCTATGAAGTTTGAACATTGTGGGCCAAACGGAACTTAAGTTATGCTCTGGAAACCAAATTGCTAACGGACAAATTGCTAACGGACGGAAACTGTTTTCAGTATCAAGGTAATAGTGACCTTGACCTTTTGACCCCAAAATCAATAGGGGTCTTCTACCCAATATGGACAATCATCCTATGAAGTTTGAACATTGTGGGTCAAATGGAACTTAAGTTATGCTCCGGAAACTGTTTTCAGTTTTAAGGTAATAGTGACCTTGACCTTTGACCTTTTGACCCCAAAATCAATAGGGGTCTTCTACCCAACATGGACAATCATCCTATGAAGTTTGAACTTTGTGGGCCAAATGGAACTTAAGTTATGCTCCGGAAACCAAATTGCTAACGGACGGAAACTGTTTTCAGTATCAAGGTAATAGTGACCTTGACCTTTGACCTTTTGACCCCAAAATCAATAGGGATCTTCTACCTAATATGGACAATCATCCTATGAAGTTTGAACATTGTGGGCCAAATGGAACTTAAGTTATGCTCCGGAAACCAAATTGCTAACGGACAAATTGCTAACGGACAGAAACTGTTTTCAGTATCAAGGTTATAGTGACCTTGACCTTTGACCTTTTGACCCCAAAATCAATAGGGATCTTCTACCCAATATGGACAATCATCCTATGAAGTTTGAACATTGTGGGTCAAATGGAACTTAAGTTATGCTCCGGAAACCAAATTGCTAACAGACGGACGGACGGACGGACAGACGCCAGGGGGTATAACATAATATGCCCTTTCGGGCATATAAAAAGATAAATGTTCAGCATTAAAATGTTTCTATCTTGATTGAGTTTCATTTCATATTATCACCATGATCACTGCAATTGTAAAAGTAATCATTATTATAATGTAATCTTTAACCATTATTTAAATATCATAAAAATCATCTCAAAGAAAAACTTGTTTCTGAGGCAAGATGTGTAAAATTCCTTCCAGTTATAGCCTTTCACTGCTCTTAGAAAAGCCATGATTTGCATTGTACATGGCAGGTAGTAATACCAGAGTAAACAATATTAATGCAATTCATCTGTGTTGAGTATTCTGTAGCAAAACACTAGCTTGCTAGCCCTTGTAAGCCCAAATCTCTCTCTTAATTGGAGAATTAAGACTTGCAATTCTGCATTCCTTGAAGATTTTAGTATCAGAGGGGTAGTTATTACATACCATATACTTCTTTGGGTTTCAAATTACCTGTTTTATAATGTATTGAACCTATTGACATTTGACCAAAAGTGAATTATCTATACAATACATGCAAAACTTAGGGTTTGCACTTGATACAAAACAATTACATCACTGATACATTAATATACCCATTGGAACTGTTTAAAAATTGTCAATGTTTCAAAAAAAAACAACAAAAAAACACCACACAATGCTTTTAAATTCTGTACATGTACATATGTGTAAATGTAGTCATTGAAGAGCTGTCAAGAACTTTTCATCAATATTATTTATATAGTGTCTGTTTCGATTTCAGGACACAAAATTCAAATGACATGCATAGTATTTAATATAGTCAATGCTTGCATATTCAAGCAATCTAGCCATTGCTGTTAGAGAATTAAAGTACACAGTGACACTTATTTTGCAGATGAACTCTTATAATCAAGCACTGCTACAAATATATGCCAAATAGTAGAAACAAAAAACAGTTCATAAGTTTAATAAACTTTTATTTTTACACAATTTATAGTGCACTGCTTAGCATATATATCACACTGATTTTCCAGTGGAAGAAAAACTTCAGGAAAGCACTTGGAATTATTATTAGTTATTTGGACAATGTATCTTTACACTGTGAATGTCTACTGATACAAGAATAAGAATATTTCCTTTCACAAATGTAAAGACTTTAAAAATTAACATGAACAAATTATCATAGAGTTATAAATCATATTCTAATTGAAAAATGGTCAGCTTGATATTCATAGTCATTTAATGTCCATAATGTCATATGACTATACAGTGATTCCATGAAAAACCTTATCTCTGGTGTGTTATCAGCTTTGGTATATATAGAGTATCTAGTTTTAATACTTAAAACTGCAATGAAATGTGGATATTTTACTCTGTTTCTATCATTGTGACATTAACATGTTAACAAGATCATAGTGTCAAACACCATAAAATCATACTCTTTATACATTAAGTTTTTTTGTGCTGGATGTCATTCATCTTCTTCAGGAAAGTACATTTGACTATTCTCAGTGGCTTATATTAAACAATTTAAACTAATATTTCACTCTAACTGTGTGTTCTCTGATATCATTCTCAAATTAAGGAACTGGAAGATGGTAGTTGCAATAAAGGTCTTCATGGACAAATCCTCCTTCATCTTAAAATTCCCTTTTTATCTGCAGAATGAAAAATCAATAAATATGTTGTTACAAGTGCAAGACACTAGAAATGATATTTACATTACATTTAATAAGCTGGTCATGATTGACAGAAAAATTTCATATTTGAAGTAAATAAACATTAAAGATAAACAACAACACATAATATATAACAGTCAAAAATATTGATCTTCTTGAATGTGAAACATGACTATTTTTAATGTTTTATTTACATGTACTTATCAATTATCATGCAGTGAAATCCAAAAGTTATCAATATATTTTGATATTTGTTTATCTTTCCGATCTCAACTTAAAATTATTCAATTATTTTACATGTATTTACCTTTGATGTATAGATATTTCAGGATCATAGGCAGTGCAAACAGTTGATTAATGGTCCATATTGAACAACTGTATATTCTATACTTGTCATATACCTCCTTGTCTATACATCTGAAATGGTTTAATCAAATATTATATTTTTTAATTCAATCATAATTTGCTAGGTACCATATTAACATGTATATATAATTGAAAAAGGAAAAAGAATAAAATGAAAGGGAAAAAATATCCGAATTATTGTACAATGTCCGAATTTTGTATAACTTTAATATACACTAGAATTAAAGTGTTTCTCCATTGTTTATTTTAATAAGTTAAACTGGTTTGAATTAATTTCTCACATCAGTAGTTTTAAAACAATACTAAAAGCTAAACAACTAGAATTCACTACCTTGACAAAACATCCGAAACAATTGTCACTATCCGAAAATAAACTAGTTTTATTAAACTCTATAAATCCCTCGTTTTTCCGTCAGATAATTGACCTACCTGCATTTTTTGACCCGTGCTATCCATTCCTTCAAATCTGAAGAGGACCGAAACAAATTTAACTTCTATATCCCTCGAGTTCTTCTGGTTACCTATATGCGTAACGGTAAATAGGTCTGCCGATGTACCCGGAAGTGGTAAATCGAAAGTGAAAGTAAACGAGACTTACGGGCCCTATTATTAACATTTCTGCAACATAATTTCAGTTTCATTTCATAGGTTCAAAAGATACGAAAAGAGAATATAAAATTCATAGCTAGCACATTATCTGATTGTGCTTTTCTTCCTAGAATCATTTTCCATTTACACTTAACATTTTAGAGAGGTCTCGAAATTGTTTTGTGGCGGATGGAAGATCAAAGGCATATAGCTTAAACGCACGAAATTCTTTTGGCCGAATACAGACGTCATACATCAATCTACACAAAGCAAAAATATGTGTTAAGTTTAGTTATTATAAATTTTGATCACTTACTACAATCTTGTTCGTCTTCTCCTCCAGGGCATTCGATTTTCCCATCACATAGAAATCTCTGCTCAATACAGTAACTTCCAGGACATTTCACTGTATTTTCAGGACAAATGAATTTTTCTGAATAAAAAAAAAATAAAATAAAATAATAACACCAACAAAAACAAATAAACAAACGAAAAATGAATAAAAATGAAAATGTTGCAATTTAATGCAATAAATTATTTTTAAGCAAAGCACTTTTATAAGAAGTAATTGACTTAAGAACATTTCTTATTCTATTTCTTTTTTCCTATTAGTATTGAAGGGAATTTACTTACACTACATTGTAATTGCACGTTCAATTTTAATATCCCTCAATGCTTTACACTTATTACATAACATCAAGGTAAGGCATATTTCTAATAAATTCTATACTTCAGAGTAATTAGAATTTTTTCCCAGAGAATATATTGTCAAGACTTTTAAAAAACATGTCCAAGTGCATTCGTTTACATTACATGTTATCATAAAAATATTGTTATGATTTGATAAGTTTCAAAAATGACCCGCTGTTGATTGATGATATAAAATAACGTTTTTGGTTTCGCTGCCCTGTTAAAGCTATAAACTCATGAACCCTAAATTACTTACATTTTCCTTTTGGCTACTAGTCAAGTTATTTTCGATAGTTCTCAAGATATTAGTTCTTAGCATTTTTCTATATTTTGCTCCAAGTTCATTATCAAAATATTATTTTGAATACATTTAAGAAAGATTCTTGAGAGGTAAAATACATTTTATTATTGCAATGGGAATCTTAATATTTATCAAGGTTTTAAGGACAAGAAGAATTTTGTCTTCATTACTACATCGATGATTGATTTTCATGGAAAATCAGACGTTTTCTTTTTATGTGCATAAGGTTATTATAGTCATATCTTTTTAACTTTCGACAAAATAATAATATAAATAAATGAGATCAAAATGGGAAACAAATAAACAAAAACATAGTCTTTATATATGTTATATTTTTCTGGTTCTTCGGGATCATTGATGCCAGCACTATAAAGTCTTGAGAATTGAGCACCGCTCAAGCCGGTGCTAGGGGGCGTGAGGGATGTTGCACTTATTCATTATCCCTTATGTACAGACTCAATCAAACCAAGTCTGCAATTTTTATGTAATTTTGTTATGATTAATGCTTCCCACTTTGTTTCCAGATTTTTAAACACACCTTTTTTAAAAACTAAGAAAATTATAGCAGAATTTCACAGTTACGTTGTATAACTAAAGAGTAAGATTGGTGTTTGTTCAATCTAAATTTTAAACAAAATTGTGTAATAAGTGTAAGTCAGGGAAAACCTATGGCGCCATTACAAGTATTTTTTTTATTCATTTATATTTTTTATAAATACGTAGTTTGTAATGATGCATATTCTTAAATTTGTTGCCTTTTTTCTTCTTTTTTAATGACCAGTGGGTTAATATATTAAGAAAAAAAGCAAACATTAAGCCAAACTATTTTCTGTGCGAAATCATCTGCTGTAATAACAATGCAGTGTTATTGAGTGCATGATTTAATCATTTTGTGAAAAAGTATCACACATAATATTCATAATTCACAAAAACTCTGGTGATATTTTATATCTTAAATAGAGCCAACGTTTGTAAAATCAAATTTTGACGCTCTATGCCAGTTCTAAACGAATCTCTTACAAAAAGTACGAAACTAAAATACCAATCTATTCTTAATACTTTTGACAATAATTTTAAGTTTACACTTTATAGCAAAAGAAAGCTTCATTAAAATTGTTTGTAAACAGAACAAAAGCAAACAAAAGCGCCGTTAACAAGAATTAAAAAGATACTAGGGCGAAGTTAAAATTCTTTTACTTGAATAGACTATTTGGAGTTTTGTAATTAAAGAATTGATTTTTTTTAAAAATTGAAAGAAATACTACAATGTACAAGATACATATCAAAGGCAAAGGTCATGTTTATTATAGTGTCACCCTACTGTAAGGGCCAGCCATTTCTGATTAATGATACACCTTTGGATTGCATACCATATACTTCCCAGCTCCTACCACTATGCAAGGCGGATAGAAAACGGAAACCATTCATTTTATCTACCTTGCGACTCACGAAGCGGCCATTTCGGAACGAGTCCCACCTTCAATTGACGCTCCCCGTGAGGCTCGAACCTTCTACCTCCCGATCTGAAAGCGGACGCATTTACCACTAGGCCAACAGTACAGTATAAATGTATCTAAATGGAACTGTCGTATTTTCAAATTGTACATTACACTTAGAATTTGTTTGTTTGTTTGTTTGTTTTGGGTTTTACGTCACATCGACACAGTATAGGTCATATCGCGACGTTCCAGCTTTACTGGTGGAGGAAGACCTCAAGTGCCCTTCCGTGCATTATTTTAGGCACGAACTGGCACCTGAGTAGAACCACCGACGTTCCGTAAGCTAGCTGGATAGCTTCCTCTCATGAAAGAATCCAAAGTTCCTGTCGGGATTCGAACCCACAGCGGTGAGGGGCAAGTGGTTTGAAGTCAACGACCTTAACCACTCGACCACGGACGCCCCACACTTAGAATTTAATATACCAATTAACACAAGATATGATATATCAGGAAGACCGAACATTGTATTTTATTTTGTGCCTTTGTGCCATCCGAGAAATTAAACTCGAAAGAATTCCAATAGATGTTTGAAAATGTGTACAATATGCAATTGTCAATTGTATTCCTGGTCATAAGTTTATGCACTTTCACTTTGGGTCATCAAATACCGACAAGAAGGTTCTACCCAGCTACATGAGAATATTCTTAATATTGCCTCGTCTTCGGCTATATTTCAGCTGTTGGCACCACTACTCTACTTAACAACATGTTTTCCGCAACCAGCTGTACATGAACATGGCGGTTTTCCCTTTAAAAGCAAAGGACATTTAAAAGCACCAATGACATGCAATTACCCCGTCCCAACCAAAATTCTTTAACATGCCCTAAATAAAAAACTTAAATCATGTCTTTTCTTTCCTTTCGCAAAAAAATAAATAAATAAAATACAATGCTACTTCTTCCTAAATAAATCGGGAGAGCCTATTCCGCTACCAGTGAAAAAACTTACTTTTATATATAAAGTTGGATAAATAAAGAGGAAACGGACCGGGCACAAAATATCTTGTATTTTTAATACAATTGAGAACATAATTATGATAACTATTAATCTGATAAATATATTCGTTACCACAATTTTGTAAATGGTCTCCAGACCTACATCCAGTCAGGTACCCGCTGGCATCTAGGGCATAAATACAAATCATCGATTCTAGTATGATTTTGTCGTCTCTTTCACAATGAAAACGCTCACCAAATACGCTTGCATTGTAATCTTAGAGATAAACAACAATTCATTAATTTAAATAATTAAAAAAAAAACAAATTCACACATGCTAAATAAGTATCTAGCCAGAATTGTACCTCAATAAAAAGAACAACGACAACAACAAAACAGCAATAAAACAAAAACAAAAACAAGAGGGTCATGATGGCCCTGAAATCGCTCACCGGAATATAAAAACTCTCAATGACAAGGAAAATGTAACATTGTAACTATAAACAAAAGCAGAAAAAAGTCTACATCTTAAACTGATATCTCAAAGTTCATATTTGTGTCTGAAATAGTGCATGTGTAAAAAGATTAGTTTTTAATACATACATCTAAAGAAAATCACAAACCATCCGGGGCTGGACTAGTTTAGACCCCAGAGCTTTTGTTTGAAAAAAGAATTAACTTGGTAGACACTCACTAGAAAATGTTTCATGCTAAATATTTAAGCTCTAAGTTTTTTTGTTAAACCTTTACACATATAAGGAAAATAATTGACCCCCGGGGCGTGGCCAATTTTATTTCCAACGCTTTTAATTGAACAAACTTGGTAGACCTCATAGACCCTTCTTAATATTACCTCATACATATTCATAGATTTCTCAGAACGAGGCTAACAGGGCAAGCTCCACTATCTGCTCTATGTAAACATATCACGAATATATGGCCGACAGATTTAAAGATCTTGATATAGTACTAAAAGTACTACATACTTGTTGAATGTTACATTTAACATTACAAAAATCTCTTCTGGAGATAAATGATTTTTTTACGCTATATACAGTGAAGGATATACATGTATTCAAGACCTGAAAAGTGAATTAATGTTTATGATAATTCCAAGTGATTTCTAATATTCCATGACAAGTATAAATATCAGGTTAACTCTTTGCAACTTATACAAACATTATCTGTGCTATCAGTATTTTATTGCTTACCTAAACACATGTTGGTCAAGAATGTAAAGGCAATTAACTGATCATAGATGTAAACAGTTGGATGCTGAATTCCATACCGTACCATACTTCCCCTAAATTTAGCCATTGAAATAAAAAAATTAAAAAAAACAACAAACAAACAAAAAACAAACAATAAGTTTTATTCATTTTGTATTTAAAAATCAACAATTCTGGATGACTGTCTAGTAACTGGTTAACTTTACAGACAGCCTTACCAAATCAAAATAACAATTTTGTTTAGACATGACACCACACGCCCGTCTTATACATTTCAATGGATTTTCAGTATCTTAACACATGATGTTGTTTACAGCATTGGAAAAATACATTTCATGCTAAG